AGTGTTTGGTAGTTGTTGCGATTATGATTGAGGATGGTGGTGGTGGGTGGTGTTAGTTAATCATGACGAGCGGTGGTTTGTGATTGAGGAAGGTGGTGATAGGTTATAATGATGGGCGGTGTCTGCTGTGGTTGTTAATAATGATGGAGTGGTTGGTTGTGGTAGTTGAGGTGGATAAGTATTGACTGTTGGTGAGAATGATGGTGGTCGAAGTGGTGAGGATGGTGGATGGTGATTGTTGATAATGGTGGCGACTATGATTGAGGATGATGATGGTGGTGGTGGTAGTAGTGGTGGTGATGGTTGAGTATGGTGGTGGTGGTGGCGTGGCGATTATTGATAATGGTAGGCAGTGGCGGTAGTTAATAATGAATATGGGATAACATCTTAATGAAATTAAGTCTCTATTATAGATCTTAATCATACAGACCTATTCAGACCCATTAAGTGATTGTGAAGCAAAAAAAACAAATACACTTAATGATTAAGATCTGAATAATTAAGATTCAGACTTTAAAAACAAGCGCACTTAACGGCTGAGATCTGAATGATTAAGATTCAAACCTCCATTAAGTGCAAACAATTACTCAGGATGAAAGGGAGTCTTGGCGTAGCTGGTAAAGTTGCTGCCATGTGACCATGAGGTCACGGGTTCGAGCCGTGAAAATAACCTCTTGCAAAAATCCAGAGTAAGATTGCATACGATAGATCCTTGTGGTCCGACCCTTCCCCGGACCCGCGCGTACTATTTGTATTTGTCTGACCACCCACAACTCTCAAGCATATGATTTCAAGGAGTCATGTAACCAAAATTCCAGAGCTAGGTAAAAGTATATATAAATAACAAGGTGCTATATCACATAGTTGAAAACTATTCCAGTTTTTGGTAATGGCGCAAGGAGCGTCGAGAAATTAAATTGATGGCTTCACTCTGAGGACCACAGAATTAAGGAACTGAGAAAGGGATGACACCTGTTGTTGCATATGAAGAGATAGCCTATAGGCTTTTACCAGCAATTCCTCTGGATTTTATTGTCTCACTTTTTAAAAAAAAAAAATCATATCAGAATTTAAGATTATTAAAATTTAATGAGAATCTTTTAAAGTTTTGTGATTGTACAATGTTTCAAATTAAAGTGAAGAAAACGTAATATATATAAAATAGAAAGGATGAAGTAAAACTGTTAAGCAATTGCTCATTTCTCTAGAGACTACAATTGTGCCATGTGTAATGTGGATACCTCAAAGGAAGCATCATGTTATTATATCTATATACCCAAAGAGTGCTGGACGCAACATATATACTTGCCTGAATGAAACTCATAAAGCTCATATATATGCAGTAAGAGACAGCAGCAGCAGAAACTCAGGAAGTGAATACACAACAGCATAACAGAGCCATTAAGTTCAGGTAAAATCATCTGTCTGAAATCTGATAATATCCTATATATATATATATATATATATATATATGTCATTTTGCCCTTCATTCTTTTGCTGGTAAAGGATTCGGAAGATTTTTTCTTTGGTTTCCCACCGGATGCCTGGTATCCGCATTGGAGCCCGATTATATCCGGATTCATGTCTGGTAGGGTCCCATTCGGGGAAGCGCTCCCGACTAAAGATTTTTCTATACTTAGGGTTCAAACCCGAGACCCTATGGTCTAGGGAGGAGCAACCCCATCAGCTGCACCACATCCTTTGGTGGTCGGAAGACTTGTATATACGCAACTGGAAAGCACTTTCACATTATTTTTAGACGCTGAAACTTATCGGAACAGTCTTTAGTCAACATCTTATTGCCTTAAAATACAATCCATTAATATTGTCCAAGGGACAGCTGTAGTAGCTAGTAGACTAGTAGTAGTAAAACTGATTATTATTTTTTAATATAGATATTCGCATGCTATAATTAACCCAAAGAAAACCAAGATTTCTTTTTACTGGACAATTATTATAATATCTGAAACAAACCCAAGCCAATTAGTTGTTGTAGAAAATAGCCTCAGATACTTTAATTTTCCTTCCCAACCACATGTTTTACTGTCATTACTTCTACTCCTACGTTTTCAACGACAGATCACGAGATATCATAAAGCCATATAGAGTATCACAAACAAACAAGAACATAACTACCGGTAGCCCGGTACACTAAGTTTCCATTATATGTAAAGTGGGGGAAAAGCCGGAGCACAAGAAGGAACATATAATTGTCTGACGCGTATATTTAATGGTGCTCAGCAGAAACATAAAAAAAATAAAAATTAAAGTAACCTTCTCTAAGACTACATTTTATGAAATCGGGGTAAGGACTGAGGCCTAGGCAATATACATTCTTTTACTACATATATTTATGTTATTTATTTGATACCTTTTAACTATAATTCAGAACATGCATATGGGAAACAAATAAACAAGTACTCATACATCCATTTAATTATCTATATTTGTAGAATAATATTAGGGTTATAGATTCTTTTGCTCGAGTACTCTATCCGGCTTTTGAGCTTTCTTTTTCATTTCCAATGTTTTTCCAGCTTTCGTGATACTTTGTACGAATTAAATTTCCATATAGAAAAAGCCTATTCTCTTATTCTCCAGCTTCAGTATGCTACAGACACTTTTTTTCATTGTTTGCCATGCTAGCTAGTACGGTGGGAGGGGTATGATTTTGGGTCTTTTTTCAATCTCATACCAGAGTTACACATGGAAGTTAAATAGTAGTACCAATATTCCCTTGTTTTTCACCCTTTATTAACCAATCAAATTCAGGGACGGAGCCAGAACTTCAAGTTTATGAGTTACTAAAATTTTAAAATAATAACTTCAAATGCTAAAATATTTGTACATAATTAATAATATTTTTTTTTTAAAATTATCACTATTTCAGCAAAAGTTATTGAGCTCGGCCCTCTCCGCTCCTGTTCAAATCCCTACTCTATGGAAAATTAAGAGAGATAAAAAAGAAGAAGAGAGGGACACAATCTTATTTCCTAGGGTCTAGAGATAAGTTATTAAATAGTAGTACTAGTTTTTAGAAAAAGAAAAGCAAGAATATTTTTATATCTAAGAAGAACCTCATTATTATCGTAAGATAAAATCGGAATACCCATTGAGCTATATCAAAGGCAGGTGGTGGCATCAGATTCTATTGGGAGCTAGTTTGTATTTTTAGGTCTTTGCTCCAATCAAAAATTAATTCAATATAATTAATTGTCGTTGTACCATGACCTCACCACTATTATTAAAATTGGGTCCCAAAGTTCTATCTTAACCATCCACGCGGCCGATTGTCGTACCCTCTTAACCAGAACCAAATTCCAGCTGAGAGCGTCATATTCACTTGCTTCTTGGGATTATTTGGCAACCTTATTCTTGTCAATCCAATTCAACGACAACAACGACCCAGTATAATTTCACAAGTGGGGTTTGGGGAGGGTAATATGTACGCAGACCTTATCCCTAACCCGAAGGATAGAGAGACTGTTTCCAGGAGACCCTCGGCTCAAAAAGCAACAGGACGATGGTGTGATAATTAATTTTCTTTTTCTCAATTATATATCAAACATATGTTATATTTCACAAACACACGTATCCAATAATTCTTTACACTAATAAATAACAATATTTTCTAAACCTCTCATTGCGTTTAGGTCAATAATCCAAGGAAATAAGGAGATCGACGATAATGTCACGCATCGTGTTAGAGCAAGATGAATTAAATGGAAGTTCGCATTGGGTATCCTATGTAATAAGAATGTACCATCAAGACTTAAAGGTTAAGTATTATAGAATGGTTGTTAGACCAACTATATTTTATGCGGCAGATTAATATTGGCCAGTGAAGAACTTACAAGTTCAGAAAATGAAAGTATAAAAAATGAGGATGCTTTATGGGAATAGTGTGAGAGATAAAATTAGGAACAACACGAGACAAGGTGGGAGTTGCATCCGTGATAGACATGATGCAGGAAGCGATGCTGAAAAGGTTCGGGCATGTGAAGAATAAGAGCACAAATGCTCAAGTGAAGAGGTACGAGAGGTTGACAATAGTCTAAGAAGAGGTAGAGGTAGACTGAGCAAGAACAAGAGATAGGTGATTAGACAGGACATAACACATCTCCAGCTCATCGAGTACATGAACATATATAGGATAGTATGGTTCTAGTTTAGAGCACTCACGTACTTTAATTCTCTTCTCTATATAAATATTTTTGCTATTATTCTATTAGTATCTTATTCTTCATATTTATTATTAATATTATTTCTTTTTTACTTTGGTTATTTTTATTATTTTTGTTGTCAATAATTTTTACTCTTGTAGGTTTCAAACCTCTTTTGAAAACGTTTTTCTTGAACTGAAGGTCTATCGAAAGCCGTCTTTTTACCTTACACAAGGTAAAAGTAATGTCTACATACATCTTATCCTTCGCAGACCCACCAATAATAACACATTAGGGATATTGTTGTTGTTGCCATGCTTGTGTGATATCATAGCATTTTAAAGATGTACAAGTTATAAAGATGCTTTTTAAGTACCAAAAGTCTTTTTTTTCTTATTTTCTTTGCGGGATAAAAAATACTTTGAAGCATAGCCACATAAAAAGAGATAGAAGAAGCATTCATTTCTAATCACTGTTATTAGTTATATATGCTCTATGAAAATCAAAGGAGCTAAAAAGAATGCGAAAAACGAAAAAAATAAAATAAAAAAATATCTGTGTCAGTCAGCTGGGGGAGGTGATCACACGCTGAAGCTAGGACAGTAGGATTATGGGATACTCAAACTGTAAAATTTTATTTTGTGTCTCAACACTAGTTGTATGCAGGGACGGATTTACGTGGACCCGAGCGGTGTTACGGAACACCGCTTCGTCAAAAAATTATACTATATATATATATAAATAATAAATAAAATAAAAATATAAGATAAAATTATTAAAAGTGACACCACTTGCGTCAAAATAGCTCAATAATCTAGCAATTGATACTTTCAAATTTGATGTGAGAGGTCTTGGGTTTGATCTCCCTTGGCTACATAATTTTTTTTTGGACTGTTATAGGCCTATTGCTAAAAATAGTGACACTACTTATGAAAAATTCTACGTACGACATAAGTTGTATGAGATAACTTTTTTATCTCATAATTTTAATTTTATGGACCCAAATTTTTGTGAACCTAATAGTATATGATTGGAGTCCATAAATTTGTGGGGTCCTAATAGTATTTTGTGTACAACTAATGTCATATGACACAAAATAAAACTTTTCTGCTCAAAAAATTCAAACAACGGACACGCGTCCAGTAAATGGAACCTCCTAGAAAAAGCATTCCCACTTTGCTTCTACCCAGGTACAAACGTGTCGCCTTTTTTTCCTCAGTGCTTTATACGTGACCTTTTCCCATTGGTTCTCACTTGGCACACCAATCACAGCAAAACTATTTCCATTTTCGCTGGATATGCTGCTTTACTATTGGGACCCATCTGATCTCATCCCACCAATCACGGCTCTTCTCTGCTTAAGGTTTTGCCCTAGACACGTGGTGTTTCCTAACGTAACCCTACGACTATTGCCTGTAACTATGATAATCGTCTCGGCATCCGGCTAAAGTCTAATTTTTTTTAGTCTAAAGTCCGCTCTACGAGTGTAAATAGAGTTAGATATATATTTTATGGACGTCGGAAACAATTGGGCCGGGTCTGGCTACCCCGGTGCACCTAAAGATATGACGATAATCAACAAGATGATGCTAAGATTCCGGCCGATTGCGCCGAAGCCCGTCGCTAATTCTTCGGGCTCTGGCTCTACGATCGAGACTCATAAGATTGAAGTGGTTAGCAAAAGAAGAACAAAGAGAAAGTACGTTAGAGTTAAGAAAAATAGCAATTACAAGAATAAAAAAGAAAACAGAGAAAAAAAAGAAGGATCTTTAGTTTTGGATGATCATGGAACTATTGTAACACTTCAGCTACTGCCAGAAACTAGTGGAGGAGTTAAAAACTCACCAGAGAACAGATCTTACCCAAAAACCATCAATTTTTGGATGAATTTTGATAAATCTGAGAACAACGATATTTTATCAGTCGGTGCACCGAATCTGTTAGATCAGACGGTGGAGATGCGATCTGCCAAGGTAGTGGAGTCATGGGTGATGGTTGATGGTATAACAAATACTTTGGTAAGTTTATCAGCCTTAGGAAATACGGATACGGAGAAGATGAAGAATCTGGAAGCTGACACGTGTCCAGGACTCATATCGGACGGCTTAGATAGGGTACAGTGGGTGAATCTAGCGTATCGGAGAATGATAGATCCGTTAGAAGACGGCGGAGAGCCACCGGAGATGGTGGTGCGGTTAGTTTTGAAGGAGAAAAAAACTGTACCATTATTATTATTACCAGCTTTTGCATGCACTGTGAGAGTTGTGTATACAATGAATAATGTGAAGCAGACAAGGACAATGCCTTGTGACGTGTGGAAGATGGATTTTGGAGGATTTGCATGGAGATTTGATGCTAAAGCTGCACTTAGTTTGGGGATTTGAAGGAAAATAAACACTTTTAATTCCTTCTCTCTAGCAAAAAAAGGATAATCCCAAGCTTGCTATCAAGGTAAGTATAATATTATTATACTACTCCTATATATTATGGGAACCCTAGTGAGAAAAATAATGATCTCTAAAATTTGTGCTTTTGAAGATAAAATCTAGGGCAAAAATATGCTCTTGATCTTGTTCAAACTCTACTTCTAAGTGTAAAAAATGTTTGTTGGAAATGAAGAAGTGTGAAATTGATAACAAACTATATATGGGGTTGTTATAATTCAGTTAATTTCAATATTTATTTGTTAAGCAAGAAAATGATCAACACATCACTTGTGAAAGTTCTTTCAAACGGAATGGAACCAAAAACACTTCAAATGATGCACTAGCTTCTTGTTCAAACCTCTACTTCTTATTAAATATAAAGAAGTTTGCCGAAATTAAGAATTTATTGTCCACAGATGAAATCATATCCAACACTAATTAACCTATGATATTGCTTAATAAATTTCATCCTATATCCCATTACATGTCATGTCATTTCCAAAGTTTCTATCCACATTTATTTTGAATGTTTTCAGAACTTGAGAAATTTTTCATACACCTACAAATTTCCAAACATCTGGTCTGAATGCTTAAGAATGAAACTAATCCTTTTGAAGTTCTTGAGAGTGACACCTACACCTTGCATTTGTTTCGATACAGAATAATTGTATTGACAATCAAATACTACAATAAATTGAGAAAGTACAGTAAACACAAAATTAACAACAATTGTTATGTTTTAATGGAAACAATATATGGAGAAAACTATATGCTAGTGAGAAACTACTAAATGCTAGCTATAGCAGAGTGAGTTGTAACAAGTATGTGAATTAATCTCTTACTCTAAACAGGAAATTTCCCATTGACTGTGGAAATATAAGCTGCTTAACTTCTTTCTCGAAAAGAACGGGCATTATTCTCAAACTTGCCTTGCAATTTGTTCAAAATTATCGTCTTGCTAACTTTTTGGTCACAGAAAACTAGTGAGTAATAAAGCACATCCATGATATTATTGACTAATTTTATATCACATGTAAAACATTGATTTTGAGGGTGGTTGGCTAAGCTTATAAGCTAGTCAAACTGGCTTATAAATACTTTTTGACTTATTTACGCGTTTAGTAAAATTAAAAGTGCTTATAAGCCAAAAATAAGTCAAAAGCCATAAGTTGGTCTCCCCTAACTTGTCAAATTTCAGTTATAAGCACTTTAGGTTTGACCATAATATTTACTATTTTATCTCTAAAATACTTCTTTTTAAAACAAAACTTTTCATATACCCAGTTCTTCAGCTACTTATTATTAATTTTAGCACTTTTATCCAAACATGTAACTGCTTATTTTTTAAATCAATTTCAGCACTTAAAGTGATTTTCAGCACCTAATGCTTATTAGCTACTCTGAATCAGCTAAGCCAAATGGACTCTTTGTAGACTATTGAATAGAGTATCATTTTTTCTCTATCTATTTTGTTTCTTTTTATGTCTAAAGATAAACGTAGCTTAGCATTTTAATTACTGGAGCTAGGATATGATTGAAATAATTGGACAAGCTAGCTAGGTTTCAACTAAAAATAATAACATTTGCTGACTGATCTGTTGCAGTTTTTTAAAGCCATGTTTATTGGAGTAGGTAGAAACTAGAGACTATATAACATTAAATTGCTATACTGACTCAGTCAAGACAGGGACACCTTGAACCATAGCGAAGCCAGGAATTTCATTAAGGGTGTTCAAATTTAAAAAAAAGTGAATTTTTTTTTTCGATAAAGGGTGTTCAATATATGTTATATACCTCTAAAACATAATATTTTACCTATATATACAATGTAAATTTTTTACGAAGGGTGGTCAGTTGACCACCTCATGTGGCTTCGCCACTGCCTGGAACCTGCGTAAGACGGAGCTAGCAAAGAGTAACTTTGTGTAGATAAGCATTAGTGTATCACTAGTTCAGAACTTAACTCATTATTAAAGTAAAATTACAAATTATTTTTTATCATATATTAAAGTTATCTTACTTTAACAGTAAAGTTACAGAAATTTTTACGCATAAAACTTGACATCAGTGTTTCGTTATACTATAATACTACGGATAAGAACAGATAACAGATTCAGCAGATTTCATGAATATTAAAAGAAGATCTTCTTTTGCTTGATAAGCTTAAACAATGAGATGTGAGTTACTAGTAGGCTGAATCATTCTGCACTCCACAAAAGAGTAGCTAACAATGGTTGATAAGAAAAAAGCTTAACTTTAAGACATACTCTACTGTATATACAGATTGATATGCAACATCTAGAACCTTCTCCTCATGGATTTCTTCATATCCATAGTTTCTTTCATTTTTCCCCCCTTAATTTTCTATTCATAGCTCCTCTCATTTTATTTTCCCTAATAAATGAATAATAGCCCGTTTGGCCAAGCTGCGAAAATCGGCTTATTTTGAGAAGTGTTTTTTTTAAAAGTGCTTTTCTCAAAAGTACTTTTGGTGAGAAATAGTTTGTGTTTGGCTAATTAGTTTGAAAAGCACTTCTGAGCAGCAATTAGTGTTTGACCAAGTTTTAAAAAACTGCTACTAAGTGTATTTTTCTCAAAAAAGTGCTTTTGGAGAGAACTACTTTTTTCTGCTTCTCTAAAACTGCTTCTGTTTTTCTCAAAAGGACTTTTTTTTCCTTCCAAAAGCTTGACCAAACACCTCAATTTTTGGCCCAAAATGCTTTTAGCAAAAAAAGAACACTTTTGGCCAAAAAGAAGTTTGGCCAAACAAGCTAACTGTGATTGGATGTGAATTGACAGGTGAATAAGTGGTTTTAGTTTCTTCTGGTGATTTTCCTTTTGCTTGTAGTCAAAATAAGCTGCAAGCATGGACGGATTTATAGTCCAAATTATGGGGACTTGAAACCATAGTCTCTCCACCGAGCTATATATTTTTTAAAATTAGTCTAATATTATCTGTTGGCCTCTCGAGCCCAGTTTTATTAGAAAACGGCCTCTCTATCTCCCCAATGTAGGAGTAAGATTTGCGTACATATTATTCTCCTAAAATACCACTTGTAAGATCCCACTGGATTTATTGTTGTTGTAGTCTAAGCGTTCATACCAAATTATATAAGTTTGTGTAATTTCGAAAAATGATTGTACTACATGACTTGTGTGCTCTCAATTTACCCTGAAATATATTTTATACAATAGGAGTTCCTCGTAGTTTTTTCTTTTTTTTTGGATAGTACGAAGCACTGTACTTGTTGGAGTACGTTTTGCTTTAGTTTACAAGTTATTTATTTCATTTCTTATGAAAGTACATGCATATAATTTTTAGGTGACTTTATATTTTATTTTTTTAATACCGTGAGCATATAAAAGTTAAATCTGATAAAATTTTAGGAACATGTGTACATATCTAGATTTGTGCCGTAGGGCTTTTTCCATTTAAGAGGTTGGTTGTTGTACAACGACCACGTGTCCTTCTTTTTGACCGTCATTCAACTTTTGCAGCGCTTCATTCTTCGTTCTTTCATACTCTGCAGTCTGCATCAATCAATCAAACAGCTCTCTGTTTCCGTTTTACCTTTTTTTCTCCGTTCCTTTCTTTTCTTTTGCTGTGCGGTTTCTTCTTTTTACTCAAACTTTATCGGAGTATTATTAATGCATGAGTTAGTAATACAAGCATTAGTAGTTATGCAGAGATTATTTTTTATTCATTGTTTGATGTGATGTAGACAAGAGGGGTTGCTCTGATGGTAAGCAACCTCCACTTCCAACCAAGAGGTTGTGAGTTCGAGTCTCCCAAGAGCAATGTGGGAAGTTCTTTGAGGGAAGGATGCCGGGGGTCTATTTTGGAAACAGCCTCTCTATCCCAGGGTAGGAGTAAAGTCTGCGTACACACTATCCTCCTCAGACCCCACTAAGTGGGATTATACGGGGTTGTTGTTGTTGTTTGGTGTGAAATTAGTTGTTTATAAAAATGTCTTCTATATTTTTTAGCTTTAAGGAACTTTAAGGATAATTTTATTTTTAACCATGCTAATGCATATATTAATAGCCTTGGTATTGCTAATACCATGATTTGCTATGTATTGATTATACATACGATAATACCAAATAAGTTGTATAACTAATACTTGCATTAGTAATACATAGATTGAAAAAGTGTACTAAACAAGTATTAATAATACCAAAAGCTAATACATCCATTGTTTTCTCTAATACATCCTACCAAACGACCCTTTAGAGTACTAAAAATATTTTTTTAAATAGGTGATGGATGAGAGTGCCACATATCTTTTCATAACAAATCATATAGTTAGGGTTAAAATGGAGATGCTTATAATTAAATAGCTTTAAAATGATAAAGGTGTCTTCAAAGATTGTCACACAAATTGGAATAGAGAGAAAAATGCATCGATTGCTATGTAAAGATTAATAATTGCTTCAAGTTCATGTTTGTCTTTTTAATAATTTAATTCTTGTATTACTAATACATATTTTCTTATTTTACATTCTATCCGGCATAATTTAATATAGATTTCATAATGTAATGTGGACATTATTTAATAGCAATAACCAATAAATGCATGAGATATGCGAGAATTGTTTGCTTAGGGACCAACCAATCGATTCTTTAGTTATGCTGCAATAATTTTTTCTTATGTGCCAAACTAAACACTATATTCTTGTGGAAAATTTTATATTTGGATTAACTAATACAATCAACCAAGGACCCTTGACAGGAGTTGCACTATCAAGTTAATTAAAAGCTAATTACAAGTATTTTTCAAACCATGATATACATTAAGCTACGAACAACAGAAGAATTAAGAATATGAGAAATTTCCTTCTTCTATCAATTGATGAACTTGATTTTTTTTAGGGCATCTCTAACCTTAAGTACTATTCCCCCGTTCCAGTTTATGTGAACCTATTTTCTTTTTGGTCCGTTCCAAAAAGAATGATCATTTTCTAAATTTGGAAATAATTTAGCTTAAACTTCCAATTCGATCCTTAATGAGAATCTTTTATTACCACACAAATATTCTGGACCCCTTTTTGACTTGTTTAGGACCACAAATTTCAAAAATCTTCATTTTTTCTTAAATTTCGTGCCCAGTCAAACAGGTTCATATAAACGCAAATCATGGGTACGCCTATGATATTAAGTATTAATGAAGAGCTAATTGGTGCAATGTGGAGCTGTCTTAGTTTAATTAATTAAAATGCATATAGTCATATAGG